CTTGTCATTTTTTTTACCCCACTTTTACACTAAATGTCTCCAATCTTAGAAGCCTGTTTTTTTTTTTACTTTACTTTACTTTACTTTACAACTGTTTAGATGACTGATCAGTAAACTGAAAGAAAATATTTTTTATGTTTTTTATGGCCTCCTAAATGTGAATATTGTGTAGTTTCTCAGATATCAAAAATAGCCATTAAAAAAACTGTTCATCAGACAATTTAATTATTTAAGTATTTCAATCAAGATCAACTCACCATCAGTTTAGAAATTATGGTAATGTCACACTATGGAAAACAACAGTTGAGACGACCAAAATTACTACAATGAACTTCTTCAAAGTGACTTTGGAGTCTGTCAGTCTGATATCAGTTTGTGATTAAATAGGGTCAAACTGACAATTGAATGTAGTCTGTTTGTGATAATGTTGTATTTAACTGTGGTAAATTGGTTATAAATCACTTGCTGTCTATATACACAGAAATTCACAGTTCAACTACTTAATTTTCAGTTACAGTTAGAAAATAGAGAAAACCCCAACAATCATATGGCCTCCTATGAGCAGGCACTTTGGCAAGAGTGGGAAGGAAAAACTCACTTTTAACAGGAAGAAACCTCCAACAGAACCAGGCTCGGGGAGGGGCGGGCTAAGCTAAGGGCTAACCCACACAGAATGGCTTTTCCGAGTCTTTTCCTCACCAGCTCACGGTCACTAAACAACAAGATTGATGAGCTACAACTGTAGATTTCCTCGCCCTGTGTGGATTTGCTCCTTGTTTTGCAACTGCTCCTTTATATGGCATATATAACCTGTATATAACTTGTACAAATCTGTGTATATACTTACATTATTACATACATTTCTTTACCTTTAAGTCTACTTCATGGTTTCTCTTTATTCTCTCTATTCTAAAAGAATTTTAATGTAAAAATCTACATACTGCTAACAGAGAGATGCCAAACTGTCTTTCATTCTTCTTGTAACAGTAACAATAAAGATCTATTTTATTTAGAGTCCACTCAGAACTTAATTTGAAACCAAAACAGAATTTTGCAGGACGGTAAATTAGCAGCAAAATGACCGAGGGTCAGGAATTAAAACCAGAATACGGTCAGTTGATAACTTTGCTGCCTTGACTGCCTCAGACTGATTGCATCGTGCTGCCAATTTAGTTTATAAATTACACTTCAATTAATTTGCAAACCCGTTCACCAGCGATTGTAGTCGGTCTGAGCTGGACTGCAGTTGTTTGAAGACATGTTGCCTCCCACCAGACAACTTGTGCAACTGACTTTTGATTCAAAGTGGTTGCCAATAGATTTTGCGCGGTCACCATTCAATCACCATGTGACAGAGCCATGAATGCTTTTATGGATTTAACCAAACAAGTAAATACTCAGAACAAGTAGAGTCTATTCAGTTAAACTATTATTTAAGAGAAGTTCATTTTTAAGTTGGTTTTCATGAAGACATAAATAGTTTGAGTCTTCTGATTTTTTTCACGTTTCCTATAATCTTAAAGGAAAAAAATCTTGTAAAGGTGAGTTTAGATGGAAAATGTCGAGTAAATCTTTAATAAAAATTGGCAGTTGAATCCATATACAGATATTGAAAGCAGTCGTTTCCCCTGCATTTAGAGCTTTATTTTTTTTTATTTTTCAGCCACACTGTGCTCATTATACTTAAACAAGCTGAGTGCTGTCACAGTGTGATGTTAATACTTTTACTTCAGTAAAAGATCTGAAACCCCCCCACCATTTTTCTCAACTGCATGCTGTATTTGCCAAAGCTTTAATCCACATCTCTGGCTGACTTCTGCACATCAGTGACCACTTGTGTTCAAGACTGCTGTTATATTTAGAGCGAACACAGCAGTGCACGCAGCTCAAATGTTGCAAGTAATCATGCTGTACATGCAAATCACTGTTGCTTAATGAATCGGTGTCTTAGCTTCAACTGTGTCTCCCCCCTCTGTGATACAGTGGACCGGGTTTGTTGAGTGTGTAGTGAGGCAGAAGTATGCTGATGTTACTTCCAGTCAGCGCACAAATGATGCTTCGTGCTTTTTACTGGGAATTTACAAAAGGAGGATGAACTTGCCGTGCACTGCAGAGATTTTGGCACTGGCACCCCCCTGCAAGTTTGCCTCAGGGGTTCACTGTCCACTGTGCATGCTATTCATTTTAGACACACTGATGGTGTTTTTACACTGTGGGAACATAAGCAATAACCTAAATTTTGTGACAATTTGTAATGCAAACTTTCCATTTTTAACATTTTGGGAATGTGCATGCCTGATGGCTCCCTCTAGAGTTTCATGTGGCTTTCTGTCCAGTAGTATCTGTCAGTGTAACATCTACTGTAGGCTATACTATCCTCTCATTCTACATGACAAATCATTTTGACTGGGTCTCATATATCATGCTTTACAAAGATATTTTTAGCATCCAACTTCACAGTGGCCACTCATTTTTAGTACTAAAATTCATTGAAACACTGATATGCTACAAAATACTTCTATCAAACTGAAATGAGTGATTTACCATATGTTTGCTCAGTTAAGAGTTGAGTGAATATGGCTTGGAGTGCTTGGATGAGCAAACCTAACAAAAAGAGAAAATTCTAAGGGTGCCCTGCTGCCAGCGAATCCCCAGAAAAAGTCAGATTATTGGTCACTGATGACATTAGAGATGTTGGTGTGATTTAAATGTGCATTTAGATGAGCAGTTTTTCTTATTTTTGGCTCAGACTCAATATAGATGACCAACTATCAAGGTCCTCCTCAGGAATAAACCTTAAAATTGAATTAAGTCAGGGATGAGAAACCGAGTTTCACTTAGGGCCACAAATGGGAAATGAGAATTGCATTATGCTTTTAATTTACTCAAAAATGTGAGCTTCATACAACCATTTCACCTAAAAGCTTACAAAGCCCTCAACCAGTCTACAAAAATTCTGTCTTCATGACATTTAGTGAAGTAAAATAAATCACTCTGATTACAAGAACACTACCAAACAACTATTTTGAAACCTGTTTCACGTGCTTAAATTTAATTGAATGTGATCAAACAATCCTGATGTGGTGTAAAAAAAAAGTTATACATTTTCATTTGAGTCTTGTACATATTTCTTGTCTTCTATGAGTTTATGTCTTTGCAGGGATTTGGATTCAGAGTTCATAAAGAAAATGCAAATTGTGTTCTTTGAAGATGAGTGTGTTGCAGTTAGCCATAAAACACTCAGATGTTTGGACAGTGGGGGGAGACTGGAGTGTGAGGAAGGAATCTGCTTTTTGCCATTTTGTTATGTTTTTATGTGCAAAGTTTAATGAAAACTTACAGAAACGAAGGATTGTTAAACAAATAAAAATGACACCCACATTAATTCAGGGGTTCTTAGGAAACAGCACCGACCATTGAGAACAAACAAAGACTCTGACCCCTCTGATTGGGCTCAAATCAAAGAACAGAGGCAAAAAAACCGAGAAAGTATTAGCAAAACGCGACACAGTGAAACCTGCATTTTTTTTTCTGTTTGCTAAAATAGGACAAAGCAGGAAAAAGTGATCTGTATTTATTTTTGAGCATACTTATTGAGAAACAGAGACTGAGTTGTGTGTGCATTTCTTCTCCTGCAGGTAACATTAGCAGAAACTGTACAACAGCTGGATGGTCTGATGTTTTCCCAAACATAACCAGTGTGTGTGGGGCAGACACGAGCCAGGATAAGGTACAGTAAACATCTTAACTGCTGCTTTTTGTTCTTTTGTGTGTCGTAAATGTCACCTGGATGTTAATGAATTCTGACTGTGGAACAGGAAAAGAAGCTGCGACCCCAACATGGACCATTAGTGGCCCCTAATTGACGAAGCCCGCGGGGTTGGCTGTTAATTAACACCAGTTAGTGGTGAAAGACTGCTTCTTTAAAAGGTCAATATGCCCAACAGTAGAGTGATACGTGTTTAAATGTGAGCAATTTGGTGTCTGCGTGCTCTGCTGTCTAGTTTTTTGTGTCGTTTAATGGACAAAAAACACCATTAGCCTTCCTCTAGAAGCAATTTGGTGTTAAAGGGTCGTCATTTTATGTTTCCCAGAATATCTGTATAATAGCAACCATTTATCTAGGTAGGAAATTTTTTGAACGGCTTTCAGGTCATACAGTTTAACTACACTGCCACTATAAGATTGCTTTGGCTGAATTCTATGCATTTCAGACAGTTGGGTATCTTGGAATAGGAACGGGTCGGTGGTTTGCAAATATTTCTACACACATTGTATTCATATCTGTACAAAATAGCCACAAGGTGATACAACATGTTGCTAATTCTTCTTTTTTTTCTATGTTTGGTATCCCATCTACCTGTAGCATGGCATCTACAATCATTTTTTAAGATGGTCTCCACTACATGTGCACATTCAGTTTGCAGTTTGCCTTATATACTGTACCACCATGTACGTTTGCACGTTTCAATAAATCACGGCACCTTTTCCCACTTTTCCTTGAAAATGTGAAGTGAGGAGCTCAAGACTTTTGCACAGCACGCCTCCATCGCTGTATCAGACACTTGGTCTTGTTGCCTCTGAGTTATATCTAGCTCTGTTTTCAAGCAGAGGAAAGTGGTGGTGAATTTGTCCACACAGATGAAACGTTCAGTATGAGAGAATCACTTTTTGTGCATGTATAACTGTAATGTACAGGCGTCAAAAAGTCCCAAAACACACCTAAACTAGTCTCAAGAGATGTGCATGTGCATGTGCATGTACAGCACGATTTCATGGTCTGGGCACAGAATCTGAAACTTTGTTATCATTACATTGCAATTGTTTTTCTGGCAGACTTTGAGTTAAATTATGATTGTAAGAGAAACACTTAGTGCTAAAAAAGATGCTCCGTTCTTATGATTGCAAGAAAAACTTTGCAACTTTAGTAGGAGTCAAGCAGGACAGCACAGGACATGTGTCTGCAAACAGCATGGCACAGAGTAATTGGAGGTATGCAGCCAATATCCTGCAGCTCTTCATCTAACAGCTCACTCTAACTGCGTCTTGTTTTTATTCCATCGCTCCCTGGACATTTTCAAATGATTCATCATCAGAAAATGAACTTTCTACATCAATATTATGATACTTTGTGGATCTCAGCTGGGCAGACATGGATATTTACAGAGGAGGAGGATTATGTGGAGTGCAGTGTTTCACTAGATGCTGACCTGAAATAAAATAGCCAAACACTTAGTGCTACAAAAGATGCTCCGTTCTTTTAGCACAGTGTAAAAACCTGGCAATGCCATCGCAAACAACTGAGAAAGTGGAGAAGTTGCACTGTGCTCGGAACAACCCCTAAGTGTAGTAAAAAGTAGGCATGTGTTCCAGTTCCTTATGTTACAGTGGAAGGCAGCGAATTGTATATATTATTTCAATAAGGTCACTTGCAAGAATTGAACAGGATTTACTTCATGATAAGGGGATTAGGTTCCAATGACCCAACACGACAAAACACGACGAGTTTTTATGCTGTTGGTGAAGACTGAGGATGGATGGAGCTCTGACTGAGGCGTCTGTGAGGTAGAGATGGGGAGGAGGTGGGCTGCAGAAATGAGAGTCTGGGAGGAAGAATGATAGAGAACATGGATTTACACTAGGCTTAGTCTTGCACGCCTTCTTTGAGCTGATTGGTTCAAAGAAGATGTGCACTAACATGATTAGATGAGAGTAATGATGTCAGTACTGAGACTGCCAGTGTGGGAAAGTGGTAGTGATGTAAAGAACAGACAAACACTCAAACGCCTGGGAAAGCAGGCAGATGAGTGATTACACTTCCTCCTTATTGAGCATAAGCTTCACTTTATTTAATTGATGTAGTCCAAACCAAACTAAGAGGTAAGAGGCGTCTGTGAGGTTCCCTGCTCATCCTGCACAGACATCAAATTGATTGCACAACAGGAACATTTGAAGGTTTTAACTACATATTGAAATACAGTTACTGAAATGCTGATTAAACAATAGTTTTGCAGGACAGATGTCAAACGACTTCCTTCACAATTATGTTCAGCTTGGGTCGTCCTGACAGGTCACCAAACTGGAGTTTTTGGTGTGTTGTGTGTGGCCTTTTTTGGCCTCTGCTGTGGTAATTGCTGCTCCCCTCTTCTTCCACTCTTCTGTGGTTCAGTTTGGGTCTCGACTCTGTGTATCCTGAATCGCCCATTGTGCTTGTGCAATTGTTCATCCATCTCTCTTTTCAGTTTTGGCTCTGCACGGCTTCTCGGTTCACACTCTTCCCTTGCTGTGGTTTTCTGTCTTTCTTGTCTTCAGTAGGGAGTAGAGAGGTACTCGGGAATAATGCGGTACTGTCGTCGCATCAGCTGTCCATCTTCTTTTTGTCATTTTGCATATCAAAGAAAGAAATGGTTGAGCAGGTGTCTGAAAGGGTTCAAAGACCTGAGAACTTAACATTATTTTAACAAAACATAAATAGAAAGTGAGCTTTTATAATTCAAACAAGAGAGGGATTAGGACTAAAACCCTATGGGGGAAATAAACCAATACACATTCACTGACTTAAAAACACTTTGGTAGGTTGGGAATGTCTCATGGACAGAAGTCATACATTTTTTTGCAGCGTAATTAAACTGAGCTAAAATCAAAGACGTTTTACTTTATAAAGGAAGAGAAATGTTCCGTTTTATTTCTCACTGTTCACTGAAAGTTGAAAAAGGGAAAAAGAATCCAGCGTTTTTCAGGCAGCTGCCAAAAAAGTGTCTTTAATGTAAACTGCAATATGTCTGTGAAGGTTCTGAGTCATCCAAGTCATTGTAGTCTAAGGAGCTTGGAAAGTCCAGATGCTTTTCTGTCCAAGCTCCTTAGTCTTTAATGTAAAGTATGCAGGAGAATTTTGAACATGGGAATAGTGATTAAAGTAGTTTACAGGTTTTACTACAGCTCACTGGGGAAAAAGCAAACAGAAAGAAAAAGATGGAAAGCAGCTACATGATGCCTGTTTTTTATTTGCATCTTTTCTGGTGGCTTATTGTAGCGTTTTCACACATAGTCAGTGTTGTAGTTTTAGAAATACAAGTTTAATGCTGATGAACTGATGAACTCTTCACCTGGATGTTTGGGCTTTGCTGTGTCCAAAGAGAGGAACGAATTCTATTTAGATAATAATCTGTTTTACAAATTTGCATATAGTGACATACATATACATTTTTACTTACTAAACAGAAAGTCTGTGTGCACAGCCAGGGCTGTGTATCTGAGATGTCTTATTTAACATAGAGCCCAGAGTAGAAAAGAAATGTCTGTAACTGTTTAGTGTTCAGAGAAGTCTGAGCTTTGGGCTCATAAGGATTACTCGCACATACACCAAGTTTATTTTGGGCAGCAGCCATTGAAACAGTAAGTAGATGACATAAAATAAGGAATTACATAAGAGTTTCCTTTTTAAATAAGAATACACTAATTATAGAAATTGACATGACCACATGTGTTACAACAGGTAAGGTAATCTACTTTTGAAGATGATCCTTCCACAGGAATCTCTATATTACAAGGTCATCCCACACTAGACAAGTAGTGCCCTGGCTGTCCTTGTGATTTTTACAAAGACTCAAGGTCAAACCATAACATTTTAAAAACCTTTCATTCAGCTGAGTCTAAAAATATCTTTCTTTGTATGCTTTTCCAGACAGAGTAAAGGTTTTTGTTTATAGTTCCCAAGTGTCGGTTTGATCCGATCTGTCTACGATATACTGGAGATATTGCAGCGAAATGCCATTTAAGCCATATTGCACGCTGAAGTGCATCGTGCATCGTGCATGGCTCGCTGTTGCTGCAGGTTGGCAGCACTCGGGCAGCAATCCAGGTTTGAAACTCAGCGGGAAACAAGAATCAAGATTATTTCATGGTAATACAACCTGAGTCACTGTCACTGTAGTTTAATGATTATAAAAACATCTAATTTTGCACTTGGCATCGGACACCAGAGGCACTCACATACTTTTATTTGTATAAATCTACATTTCAATGACTTATTTTAAACTGAAGTCAGTGTTATTATGAAATGCAGAAGAAATGTTGAACAGTTTCCTTATGATTAGCAGATGCAGTGTTCATAAAAACAAACACTTTTTACTTTTATGAACAAGGATTTGAGTTATGTTACTGCAGCATGGCAAAGCAGCTGTGAGCTAAAAAGGGAAACTTCATGTAACATGGTATATTGTCCATTTTATTACACAGAGAAAAAAACATTCCATCCAACTTCTTGTGCCCTGTGTCACTGGAAAAAAAGAATTCCTGTAAGGGTAGGAACCCTGTGAAGAGGCACAGTTGTGGTTGAGGTAAGGAGGAGTGATGATAAATGGTTTGGGACACGTCTCCCGAACAGGACTGGACCTTCCCTTTCTGACTGAAGTCGGCATCCTGGCTTCTCGTCAAACAAACACTCTTTGATGTTCTTGCCGAAAGAAGCCAGTGGAAGAAATTCAACCTACAGCATCTTTTTCTGAGGAAACCAGATAACAGCGCAAACAGAGAGAGAGAGACGAAAAGAGAGAGGCAGGGAGCGGGAGCCTGTGACGGACCATGTATGGTCGGATTTCATTTGTTTTGTTTTCTTTTGTAATGCAACAGATACTAAAATCTTTCAAACAAGAATAAATGTTGCTCGCTTTTCTCCTCCAGCACTAAGGGTATAATGGGGCTCGGGAAATCTATAAAACACAAAGGCCT